GTGCACAAAACGATATTTGCAAAACCATTTGTACAGCCAAAAATATTACTATAATCAGTGAAACGAAACGCAAAACCTCGGCGCCGTGACAGTGGTAAATAAAGAGTTGGCTTCGAACTGCAGACGTGCCCTGCCGGGTTCGAGTCCGAACAAACGACAAAACTTGTCTTAACCGCTAGTTTCTGTGAACAAGGAGTCTACCACACGTTGCTTCAGCGCAACGGAGTTGAAAAACGGGTCGCAGGTCGTTGACACGCGAACAACAAAGCGGCACGGTACGGGTACGGTATTCTGAAGTGGTCATAGCAGAATGGGCAACGTTTGCGGACATGCTGCCGATGCGAGTTCCTTCAGTGGCTGCACGTCGCCTTCACCCATGCGACTGGTGACCGTTCAGTACCCAGTATGATACTCAGCACGAGGCATAACTCAAAAAAGACCTCATGCTGCTGGAAAGCGTAAATCGTTGGAAAGGAACATAAAACGATTAACACATGCAGGACATGTTCGATTTTCGACTAGCTTAGCGTCTATCAACATATTCAGGCATACAATCCGGTATTTGCTATGCTGCACAAAAGCCGTAGATGACAAGCAAGATATAATTCTAGGCAAGGAAACGATGCGACATGTATCCAGGCAGTGCACAGCTGCTCAAATACCACGGGCCCGTAGCCCGATTAAACGGCTCCCTAGGCTACTATGAGCAAAACCATGAATCAATACGTGAACACACGGCGAAGCGTCGTCGCAGTAAGAAGCAGTATTTAGAAACACAGTAGCACACGAATCAAATTACATCCGATGCAACGTCTGCAAATGTAAACACGTTTCACAGTACAAAGAAAGCATCAACGCAAGGAGACGACGAATCAAACCTATTCCGCCGAACGGTAACAGCCATCAGCTAGTGCGTTTAATGCTTTTAACTCGGAGAAAAAAATTTTTCTACCTTGAGATGAGGCTGATATACATCATTCAAAATATGAGGTAGCTTGTGTAATATCGCTTGAAGCAGCCGATCCTTCAGGTCTTGTAAACAGTCGATTACCGCGCAATCGGATCTTAAAAAAAATAAGCAAACACAGCGGTCAGTCATTTACGGCACATCTGACGCAGAATTTCGTTTAGTTACTGTTTGGTGATGATTCGCAACGTCAACTGACTACTGACGTCTTTTAAGAGGTTTTCCACCTCCATGTCCAACTCGTCGGTCATTTCGTCGAACGACAGCGGCTTCCAGTTCTTCAGCTGAATCTTGCCTAAAGAACGCACGTGTATATAAGCAAGCATTCGCGCCAACAACAACCGACACATGTCGCTACAGTAACAGTACATGTTAGTTTCTCATACGACAAGACGGGTGAGGAAGGCAAGTTTGTCACCGTTGCAACGTCGGTCTTCCTTCACTTTCATGATTGGGCCAAGTGGGCGCCCTTCTTTTCACGAAATTGATGCTGATCTGAGTTACTATGCCATTGGCTAGGTG